CAGTAAATGAATAAGCCAAGAATCATTTATTCATTTAAATTTAATTACACTTTGAAAATTACCTAATATTAATACTAGTGTCCCTTTTAAATCCAGTTATTAACTGCAAATGTTGCCACCACATTTAAACTAATGATGACAAGAAACTTTTTTTTTTATATAATCAAAACCAGCTGGAGTCTTTTTTTCTTACACCACTCTTGAAAAGTTTTACATGTTCTTCCCACATCACTTCTAAAAGTTCTACGTTTCTTACCCAGTTGGAATTGTTTCTGGGTTAATCGCTTCAAGAAGATCCATCAGTTCAGTCTGCCGATTGGTGCGAAGGTAGACGATAGCCAAATTTAAATTGATGAAAGTTATTAAGTCAGCGGCCCCAGTCATCTAAATAGTCAAAATACATTAAAGAATATGCAAACATTCCCTAAAATACAGAAAATGCACCTCATATAAACAACAATTACATACTTACCGTGTTGTGCCTAAATTTACCACTTACAGTCGTGTAGGAAAAAAGGGGAGGGGGTGGGGTTGTCAGCTTGAGGATTTAGGGCTGCCTAGCTAGTGCTGTGGCCATAAACTGTGCAGGTTAGGTTTTTATTTGGTCTCTCAGGAAAAAACCACCCCTCAGGATCAAATATGCCTGCATGAGAACCCAGCGTTAAAGCATTTGACCATAAATACTCACAGATCACTCTAAAATACATATAGGGATGTCACAATACAAACACAGGATGCATTTGTTTCTGGCTTTACAAGACTGCAGGTATTTAGATGTGGCTATGAAGTGGTTAAGTGGTTAACTGTGGTGAACAAGCTAAGTGGCAGGCCCTGATGGCCCTGAGAAAGCTATTTTCCAGCTTTTCTGTTGTTTAAAAAAAAAATGAAATGAAGTCTTTTGGGCAGTGGGCACAACACCTATATAACAGCTTTTGTACTGGCTGCAACTGCATAGTGTGTAGACATACTGGGAATGGTTTATTATCATCATCATCAACTGCTTTGCCGACTGTCATGCACGATCATGCCCCTCATCAATCTGCGATCTTCATCAGCATGTATCAGACATTCCTTCACGCCCCGACAAAAGGTTGTAACGAATCATCTCATGCTGTCTTCCTCTGTCTCTGCTTTTTCCCAGATCTTTCCAGTGGTAACAACATGTTCCAGTTTCTCTCTTCTCATAATATGACCCAAAAAATTATGCCTGTCTCTTTCTAATGTTTGTAATAAGTTGTCTTCGAGCCCATGCCCATTTCAAAACATATGGGTTGCTCTTTTTGGGCATGATTATATTTACACATACACACTCATAAAACTGAGATAATATTAGGGGTGACAAAATAGCTATTTTTAAAAACTGAAATGTCAACGTGATTTAAATATTCACTTTGCTCCTATTGTTATGGTCAACCGAAAAGAAAGCAGTTACTTCTTCACCCTATTCGTATTTAGTGACTACTTCCCTTGACCTAAAAAAAAAAAAAAACTACCTTTCCCCAAACAGTAACCTAAACAGGTAAAATAAAAATCAACCAAATTTTTGCCATTTGGTCACCGCAATGAAGCTGTCGCCTGTCTCCCCAGTGGTCTAGGGATTCAACTTCCTGGATTTTTTTTTAAACTGTCCAGGACTAAAGAATTCTTCTACTTCTTCTCCTTAACAATTTTTTTTTTTAGGGTAGAGTTGCAGAGAATTATAATATGGAAAAGGCTAATTTTTTAAAGACTCTTATTGGGCAAAAGGGTTTTATTTGACATTAAAGCTGCTCTGATTATTGTCAGCCGCTTCAACACTAGAGAAAAGGCATGAAATCACAAAGATATATTCCCTAGTAATGGTAATAAACATCTAATTTGGAAACAACAACAAAACTGGATCTCTGACATGTTCTCAAGATGTCAGCCAATGGTTTCTCATCTTCACTTTATGACAATCCATTATTCAGCAACAAAGATTATTATAAATACATTTTTTTGGGAACTGGTTGCATTCGGGCATATATTAAAACCACACATTTGTTATTTTAGGAGCTGTTTCAGAAATTTTTTAAGAATATTTCATTACCCATTGTTATTACTATACATACTTTATTCTTTCAGTTTCAAGCTAGTTTTGCACTTACAGTCCCAATGGTTATTTAAAATCTCAATAGCCAATCCACTGTTGTTATTCTACTTCTTCTGCAGCAACTCATAAAATGGCAATTGGCCTGTTCAGTTGTGGTTTGCAGCTCGGCTGCACTATAAAGACTTTTATGACACATCTGTGAAGGAGCAGTGACAGCCTATTTCCTCCCCCCCCCCCCCCCCACCCCAAATGGGGCCCTGCAACCCACACTGGTTGTGATCATCAAATCATACAGGCTAATATTATCTTAGATCTCCCAAAAACCAGTCATTGAATTACTGTGCCCTACTGTTAAGTCAGAGTGAGCTGCCATGGTGTAGAGGCTAGATGCTCATCTCTGGGCCTGAAGGTGGCGGGTTCAAATCTGAACCATCACATTTTTTTCTTCAAAAAAAGCCTGCCTTGGCTCCCAGGTTAATTGAGCCTAAAATGGGTACCAGTTAAAGTCCTTGGAAGTAAAGATGGCCAGCGTGATGTTGATCATTTCATCCACCATGTTCCGATAGGTCTAAATAAAGATACAGGTCTAGCACTATATAACCAACATGCCTAAGGGTGTGGAAAAGGGTCCTTTACTTTTACTTATGTTAGAAGAGTGGCTGGCCGAGCGGTTAAGAATGATGTGCTCTCATGTGAAAGACTGAGGTTTGATTCCTCGGTAAGGTTGTGATATTTTTTCCCTGTTTGGGGCGAAAATAAATTTCTAACCATAAATCCATAAGCTCAAAGACCCCCACACCCTCCCGGCTTACACTGCACAAGTGGTAAATACAGGCAGTAATAGCAGTCTTTTTGTTTTGCATGATTATCGTTTTGACTGTTATGTTTCTTGTGCCTCACCAGGGCCTATACTAGAACTTCAACAGACTAGTAACACTATATAACCTACCACGTATGTAATAAAAGATAAAACTGGGGGGGGGGGGGTCCCCCTGGTGTGATGCTGTCGCCACAAACAAAGCAGGTTAGGATTTTATCTCACCCCTAACAGAAAAAAAAAATTCTAAACCTTACAAAGGATCCTAACCCTTGTCTCCCACTAGGAAACCCAGCGTTCTAACCATTTCACTAGCCGTTCCTCTCCAAAGAAAACATTAGCTGCAAAATCAAACCAGTGATTTTCACATGGTGCATGATTCTTTAACTATCCATCCAAAGCAATGCTGTTGTGTCAGTTACTCTACCCCGTGATTTTACTCCACAGAATAATGTGCCCTCTCATATTTTTGTGTTAGTTATTTGGCAGTTAGTTAGTTTGTTAGTTGGGTTATCATCATTGCACTCCGAACATGTCCATAGGTGCTCAGATCCTCCCCTCGGTATGAACCCCAACGTCCGATGGCTAATAGTGCCAGTTCTATGTTGATTAACAAGACTTCTGGCGTGCATCTCGTTTTTTGCTATGCCAATTTTAATTCCCAAGTCTGCCATTCTGGCGAGTGATGTGGATTCACTTCTACCAAAGCTCTCTATCCTTCCCATTTCTCTGAGGGCATTAATAATATCAGCATGATCCATAGGCTGACATTTGATATATGTTTTGGCAATAACATACCAAAGAAATCTGGCTTCCAGAAGTGATCACTACCACTGTATATACTGCCACTGTGAATGTAACTGATCCATAATTTTCTTTTCATCAGTTACCTCTAATTTCACAAGCCTCCCATTAAACCACCTGGTTCCGAAAGAGTTAATACATCCCTTGTACAACATCTCAGTGCAGAGCTATGGAACAACTTTACAACCTGCCAACTTGTTTACTTTTGTATATATCTTTTACTAGTGTCTAATTTCTCACCAAACAATGTTTACCTCAGCCTGCAACAAAGAAAGGCTGGATTGAGCTACAACTGGATTTCATGCTGTCAGACTGTTTCCAGCGTACACTTTTAAAAGCTGTAGAAACATAATTCTGCTACCTAATATTAACCTTTAGCACCCCACAATAAAAATTCAAATTATTTCCCTTGCTTCCCACCTTATTTTTTCACATTTCGCGTTTTTTATGGAGGAAACATGGAAAACACAATAACTTTTTGGTTTTTGAATAGTTTTGCATAATTATTTAAACTGAAATAAAGAAATGATTTCTGCATACATTGAAACATGTCGACCTCACTAATATTATCAGGTAGGCCTATAGGCCCCACAACTTCAGAGAAGTCGCGAAGCCAAGAATGGTTGTAACCAGAGGGAGCACGACCACTTACCACCTCGTCTTCCTCATCCGAGGAATCTGACACACTGGAAACAGAACTACCTTCCCTTACGTCTCCAGACATATCAACTTCGCGACTGATATCGGCTGCAGTAACACCCAAAATCTCATCGTCAGAATCCATGAAGATTTCAGAATAAATGGCTTCCATTTCGAAGGATGGTGATGGATCTCGAATTAGCTCAGAAAAATTGATCACACAAGCCTACTCTCGGCCTCCTAGCAATCAAAACAGACAAAGAGGAAGTGAAACCACTCTAGAATAGTTATTTATAGTTTTCAAGTGACGTCACACGCGTAGCTCCGTTTAGGCTTCGTATTCCCCAACCATATATAGATGTCGAGTATACTCGACTGTGGGATGCTACGAGGTGGGCGGCGGAAGTCCAATATACTCGACTGCGGGGTGCTAAAGGTTAAAAGTTTCTTGAGCAAATCCAGTATGAAGAATCCATAAAATACAAATGGATGCTGATATCAACATTTATCTCGGTTGAACTCAGGAGATAATAAAATGTATGAGGAACTAAGCCAGTCTGCCCAGATAATTAACAACATTTAAAATGTAAAAATACTACACAACAACAATCCTTCTTTTTCTGAATGCAATCATAGCCAATGTCAATCATATATCAGTGCTATACGTACCTTTAAAGCTGTTTTAAATTGAGCTTCTGCTGCTTCCATACAGTTCATAGACATTGCATACAGACCCTGAAAGAGGATTTTATAAATTAATACACTTCAGATACATTCAAGGACTCTAACGTCACATCAGATTACATCAAAATATGTATTTTCACAAACAACGGAACTGTAGTTGACATTTACTTCTTTGTCTGTGTTCACCCTTAAAAGAAGGACAGGAATGTTATACTGAGCTTTGCAGCTGTGATATCTGCGTCATCTGACCCAAAATATCCAGTTTCAGCAAACCCCTTAATTATTCGCCATTTACACCATGCTTGTTACCGTTAGGGAGCAGTGGATACATTTTATTCCTCAAATGGGGCCTATGAACCCACACAGAAAACTGTGCTGACTGTATTCCACCCAAAATATCAAAGGAATTGCATAAGAATGGAATGGATGAATTAACTGCCCTGGCTGGTTGTGTTATTAACCACATCATACTTCGAGGGCCTAAATGGTTGATAAAAATAAAAGTTTAGCATCATATGCCCAATACAACTCTGGCATGAACAGGGTACTTTAGTTTCCTTTTAGTTTTTACTACATGGCAGATAAATGGCACAAAAGGATCGTCATGTACTTGACAATACAATCCAAAAGACTATATATATAAAAAGTAAATGTGGTCCACAGCCAAAACCTCCACAGAAATGGATGAGCTGTGATAGTTTCATGTAAACAATAACATGAAAGTCTGAGGTCAGATCACCAGCGTCCTTCCACACGACCTTTTCCTTGTAGATAAACTGCCAACAAATATCCCAAGAGACTGAGTTGACCCTACAGCTGCATATAGTAAGAAAATATATCTGTGCAATCACTACAATGTTGGTGAGCCAGTAAAACCATTTTGCTGCCCTGGCTCAAATATGTTTATACTCTTATGGTCACTATCCATGAGCTGTGGCCTCATGGTGATTACTGCAATAAGTCACCAACTGTTTTTTTTTAAAGTTACTTGCACATCCTTTACAGCAGCTGTTCTTAACCTATGAGTCACAAACCTTTTTTGGGTAGCCTAAGACCATCGGAAAACACATATTCTTTGAGGTTATGAAATAGCAACGAAAATAATTGTCTGGTTGGGGGTCGATACAACAAGAGGAACTGTGTTAAAGGGTCACAGCAATCGGAAGGTTGAGAACCACTGCTTTACAGCATCCTGCAAACCAACATAGAAGTTTGGCTGTTTGTGGTTTTACTGGGCAATATTACATTTTGTAGTTTGTCAATTCTTTCTGGACGGTTTGAAGCGCATACCTTTGTTGAAATCAATGTAAAGTAGTCTGCTACCAAATCTGCAACAGCTGACTTTAAACACTGTCATCTCAAAATTATTAAACTGAGTTCAAAACCCCTAAGTCGCAAATAGAAACTATGGAGCAATTTATACATGGATATAAAAAGTAAACAACAACAACAAAATGTACAAGATACTTACAATTAGTGTATGAATCTGTGCCCCGTGAGTGGTGAACAATCTAGGTTGTTGCTGGCAAACGTAACATGCTTGGAAAATCTGAGTGAACAGAAGAAAAAAAACTAATGGCTGAAAATATCTACAATCACAAATTTCACCTAAAATGATTGGGAAATAGTGAAAATAGAAGAAAAAAAGACTCAAACATGAAAATATCTATATTACAAAATGTGTAGTACAAGATGGCGTGCAAAAACAGTAACCTGGTTTGAAATAATAGCTTCTTTGTTTCTTTCCAGATATTGTGAAGCACACTTCGTAGATTAGATATGGAACACTGCACTACTAGTCAAAGAATAAAAACTGTAGAACTCTATACTGAAAATAACCACTCAATAATACAGACCAAACAGGCATATTGTCATCATTCTAACGTGCCAAATGCACCTCAGAAGTGAATGTCCGACATTCAGTGGAACATTTTCAGTGACAATGTGCAGTTAAAGATTTCCCAGGGTCTGTACGTTCAAATCCTGCACAAAGTGACGCAAGATTCCTACACAGTTGGAAAAGTGTTGAGAAGGACCCCCATAATACTGCACCAAAGGTGTCTGCTCAGGTAAGAATAGTGAGGTCACTGCACAGAATCCTAAGAAAAGATTTACACCATTTTCCACATTGCAAAATCTAAAAAGTCATTTCAAACTCCGTTGCTAATTTTGTGTCACCCTGTATAATAATTATGACCAAAAAAACAGGTTACATTCTTACAATCTAGTTAGAACATTTTAGTGGCTTTATATATGTCACGTGCGAATGTGCACTAGAACGCACCAGTACTGAGTGAGCAAATAGGACGTCAAAACAATACATCAGGTTGTGAAGGGATTGTATTCTAGGAAATGAAAGTCGAAGTTTGACCAAGGCGGACGTGTGGTCTGGCCTTGGTGTGGATCCTCGAGGATGCTTTACCCCAGGATGCCACGGAAGGAATGATAATCAAGTTGGATCCTTGAGGATGCTTTACCCCTGGATGCCACAAAAGGCAGTTGATGTTTACAGTCCGAAGGAGACGGACATGTGGATTCTTGAGGACGCTTTACCCCTGGATTCCACGGAAGCAGACGTATACAGTTGGATCCTTGAGGAAGTTTTACCCCGGGACTCCAATATAAACCTCAGCAGAAAGCTGGTATATTGTCACAGTTCGGAAGGAAGCCGGTATACTTACATTACCTTATTCAAACTGCGGAACAGACGACTGTCTGGATCTCAAGGTCGGACTGCAACACGTCGTGAGAATTTATCAGTCCATGGATGTACGAGCGGGCTTGTAATGATGTGTTTGGATGAGTCTGGATTATTAATTGCATATTTTATCCTTGTGTTGATCATTGCTATTGTCAATACACAAATGGAACCTTTAAAGAGAGTTCTTGTTCCGCTACGTTTGGAAGCTTCAACATTCATGTTGTGTTACACTTGGCCAGTGGCATATTAAGTTGTTGATGCCATTTGTTACATTGCGACGCCCTTATTCACCTTTGGTACGCCGCACATCACCACGCAGCCTTTACAGCACGTCACACTGTACGGCAAGCTTTCACTCGTCACAATATATAATTAATTTTTTCTAAATTGTACAGTTTATAAATGTAAAGTATTTGTTTCTCCATAATATACAGATTATAAATGTTGTGAATATTTGTTTCATCATAATATACAGATTAAAAATGATGTGAAGTATTTATTTCTCCATAAAACACAGATTATAAGTTATTTTAAAACCTTAGGTTACCACATAAATGTAGGGTATCCCAAAATGAGTGTTTTATACGACTGAAGGGCATCTATGGGATTTGCTTGTCTGAGATTTGCATCCTAAAAGGTGATCTTTGAGTCATTGGGTGTTAATCTTTTAGGCTGTGTTTCCAGAAGGGGGACAAGTTAAACAAAAAATGTACAGCTTATTATTACCCTTAAAGGGCATTTGGCATGTCATGTTGTTTTTACAGCTATTCTATCATATCAGCCCCTTTTGGCCCAACACATCTGATCTCAACAAACTCCTCATTAGTGGTCTTCTACAACAGGCTTGGAAGCAGTGGGCATATTCTTCCCACCCCTCGCCCCCAAAAAATAGATAGCCCTGGAACTCATATGGATAGAACGTGAATTTTACATCCATTTGAATATTTTAACGAGGTTGAAATTCAGGACAGAGCATACGGACAGACTGGAATGAAGGCCTAGACTGGTCATGTCTTTTCCATGAGTTTTCAGTCTTTCACTGTCAGCAGGCACACTCAATACCCAGAGGCAAAAAAGTGTACAGATCATAAACATCATAAGTTAACCATACCTCATGAATTGCATTGGATTTGTTGCCCATAATGAGACGACACATGATGATGTGTTCCAGAAGCATGAGTTGAAATGATGACAACAAAGGATTGCTGTCCATAACTGAAATAGAACAACTAAACACTTTAATACTTAGCTAATATAGTTAGTTGCATGTCCTTTACATGAAAGTTAGTTGCATATCCTTTACAGAAAAGTTAGTTGCATATCCTTTATAGGAAAGTTAGTTGCATATCCTTCATAGGAAAGTTAGTTGCATATCCTTCATAGGAAAGTTAGTTGCATATCCTTTACTGGACAAATTCAATCCATTCTCAGCATGTGTTGACTGTTTGTGATTTTACAACATAATTTTACGTTCAGTAGTCTGCCGCTGCCATCTGAACCATCTACTTTTCCCACGCCTGTCAGAATCAACACAAAGCAGTCTGTTGCCAAATTGCCTGCAGATAAAATCAGGTATTGCAGAGTAGTAATTAGTAGTAACTCTATTAATTCTGCATAAACTCTTTGACCACTGTTTGTTTACGACATTGCATTTCCACTCTGCCTCTTATTTAATTAGGCTGCTTTGTTCTTCAAATAGTTCAGGTATCCTTGTGCAAAATGTACTGAGTGTAAGTTAGTAAGCAAAACATGTTCAACATTCTTACACAGAAACCAACTCAGACAACTGCAAATGTGGACTTGGAAATGTCTAAAATAAAGAACAATCATTTTAATTTTAATCAGTCTTTCTCATCTTGTCTTTAAATAAAAACATGAATGATAATCACGCTCTGAGACTGTCATTTGTTTACTCCTCCGAAGATAACTTTTTTGTTTATTGTTTTTGCTGATTTGCATCTTCAAGCTGTTTATTAGTGATGACAAGATCTGATGGAAGCCGTGCTCCTTCTTATTGCAATCATTGATTTTATGATCTATCGGGTGATTTCTACTGATAAATTAATCTGGTGTTAGGGTAAAAGGGGTAGGAAATATTCATTCTTATACACCCTGGAGTTTAATGTTACTTAAATGGGCTAGTGCATATATTTTAACTTGCTGTACAGACGGCCATTGAATGAAATATTCAAGTTTGTTGGCTAAGTCCATATGTGCAGTCTGACGAAGCAGACAATGATTTTCAAGCAAGGAATAGTCCTAGGACAAACAAGTGTGATAAGTCCATGCCTGTCAAAAGTTTAGCAGTCATTTTAGGCTGATGCTGTTTCATTCTGGCAGTACTGATTGACTTTGCTATTTTTTTTACTCACACTATAATTCTTTAATTATATAAAGTTTATCTACTTTATCAATCAATATAATGTCTTAGATCACAAAATATAAAACAGTGATAAAACTAATTACCTTAGATGGTTCTGAAAACTAAAACTAAAAGAGACAAAGCCTGGTTATAAACTTCTGAAAACTAAAACTAAAAGAGACAAAGCCTGGTTATAAACTTCTGAAAACTAAAACTAAAAGAGACAAAGCCTGGTTATAAACTTCTGAAAACTAAAACTAAAAGAGACAAAGCCTGGTTATAAACTTCTGAAAACTAAAACTAAAAGAGACAAAGCCTGGTTATAAACTTCTGAAAACTAAAACTAAAAGAGACAAAGCCTGGTTATAAACTTCTGAAAACTAAAACTAAAAGAGACAAAGCATGGTTATAAACTTCTGAAACCCAACTTAAATGAATCTTTGGACCCATCACACACAGAGACAGAGAAGCGTCAATGACATTCATAATGTTTAAATCAAAACTAGTTACTGGCATCAAGAAGACTAATGGGATGCAATGTTTGTGGTATACAGAGAGAACTGAAGATAACAGAGAGACAAAAACTGTGTACACAAAAGAGTTTTATCAGAATGGGAGTAGCTCAAGAAGACAGTGATAAGATAATATACATGCAAATCTACAAACATATGCATTCACCACTGGAAAGAAAGCCAGTCATGGAGAGGAATGGAGGTGGATGATATTTGCAACAATGCACCTCAAGGGCTTGAAATGCTAAAGAGGCAGAAGAATATGTCTTTGGGTCTCACAATATGCTACAGACATTCAACCTGTCCATCCCAGTCAGATAATATTTTAAAGTAACCAAGCCTGGTTCAGAACACATTGAAACAATTAATTATTAAGACTGGATACATATAAAATGAAAAGTGAAAAAAGAATCAAGTTTTACATTTGAGTTTTTCTATCTGCATTAAAGCCTTGTCTGTGTACTTCTGTGCCTTGTCCATGTATCCAGCCTGCATTGAGTGCATGACAGTAACCTGTTCACAAAGCAGAAAGGCTTATTTATCAGCACAGCATTGTAACCTGAATTATAGTCAGGAACATCACTAGGAACAAAAGATCCCAAGAGGTTTTTCCCTGAATATAATCTGTTACAATGAACAGATATGTAACAAAGGACAGAGAAGTGGCAATTGAAATTAATTTCTCTAGTGCAGTGGCTACATGCTTGCCCGCTGGCCCAAAGTTCAAATTGACTTTGGCTCCCAGATGAAACCAGACTAAAAGGTACAAAATAATGCCCTGGGAAGTTAGGGCTGGTAGCATTAAACTGACTAGGTCACCCAACTCCTGAAAGGTCTATAAAAATATAGGTCTAGCACTATATGACTGATGTGCCAAAGAGTACTTTTATTCTCTAGCTGAAATAATTGGGCCAAACACGAGAAAGACTAGCTTCTAAGCCGATAAATCCATCTCACTGTACACCAAACCACTGAGTCCATAAGTGTCTGACTCCCTTCCTCAGTGTATCCCTCAGCATGTAGATGTAGACCACATCAGTTCTATATAACTTTAATATTTTTTTTTTATCCTCCTGTATAGTGCTCTTGTATGGCTTCAGCCCTATTTAAACTTGTTGTTCTTGAAGGATAGTGAAGGTTACAATTTCACAATCATCACTGGATAATTTTTAACACCTTGTCTCTTTAAAGCAGTGATCTCAAAACTTTGTTAGGTGGCGCCCCCTTCAGTATATGGCAAGATCCCTATGCTTCTACTTGCAATATTTCCAGCCAACACTACACACATTTTCTAGTAGTTATATTCTCTAATTTGTCTTCTTGTACCCTTTATCCCCCAATTGAGTATAGACCTCTAACCAACTCATGCCGTCTTCCTTTTTTTTTTTTGCTGCTGAATACACATCAGCTTATGTTCTCTTACTTTTTAATTTCACTCTCTAGTCCCCTTCTATATTTTTTTTTTTTGGTGGTCTGCCTTTATTCTTTTTAACATGGGGGTTCTAATGCAAATGCATTCTAGCTTTACTGTTCACAGGTTTTCTCAATGCCAGTGTCTTTTCCTCACTTCCTGATTCACTGGAATTTTTTTACGTCTCTCCTCAAACTCCATAATAATCATTCTATCATACAATTTAATTTCCTCTTTTCTGCATTGTCACCAGTAAATAAATGCATGTAGTTTATTAGTAGTAGTAGTAGTAGCTGCTCTCCATATTTCAGCTCCACAGAAGTGATCTGATATTAGAGCTAAATATTTCAAGTTTCATACTAGTCTGTTTGGTGTTTATTTTTTCCAGGGTACCGGGATTGATCCCAACTACCAGCGATCTGGCAGCTGCAGGGGTCTAGAAATTTGATTTTCAGTGGTAGATGTCACCACAATCAAGTCTATCGCCAGCAAAAATAACAGAGGTGACAGAAGCAATCATCCCTGTACAACATCTGTTCGGATTTCAAATGTATCTGTAAGTTGTCCCTCAATGAGAACTTAACATTTCATTACTTTATATGCTGCCTTTAGTAAGTTAATAATGTTCTGTGTTTAAATACCTTCAAACTTCGGTCCAGTTAGCAAAACATTCCCTCACTAACATAGCAATTCTGTGCCATAAGTGAAAAATGGATCAGCTTGATATTACTTATAAAAAAAGTAATTCTATCAATATTAGTTATGCACAAAGAAAGAAGTTCACATTATTGTATTCTCCAATAGGTAATAAAGGCAGACCACACAAAATACATGGGTAATATAAAGTCTGTTGCTGTGCGTTCCAAAAAGCAATATTAACTATAAGAATTAACTTACCAGGTAAACCAAGATGCACATGTGTTCTTTTGGCAACCACTGAAACATTTCTGCTGCATTGGATACCACTGGCTCTGTGGAAAATAAAACATACTTTATCAAAGCTGCTTAAGGTTTAAAAATAAATTTACACAATACAAAAACCCTTTCTTAAAATAAATTCTCACAATGCAAACTATGACTAGGAAGCTGAACGAGGGGAAAAGAAAGACACAGCTTAACGATTTGAACAGTTTTTAATAAATGAATAAAACAACAGAAAATCTAAACCTCAACAATGAACAAGAAAGTCATATATGTACAGATATTTAAAAGAAACGCAACCCCCCCAAAAAGGAGGGGGGGGGGGGGGGCAGGCAGTGCTACTGCAATACGAAATTCAAATAAAGGATAAGGAAAAGGGGAATAAATGAAAACAGAAATAAAAATAAAAGTACATAAATAAACAAATCATTAAAAAACTAAGTCAGCGCAAAGTGTACACAGAATCAGAAATGTTATCGGAAAGTGTGAGGGATAATAAAGTAAAACTGATAAGCGATAATAATTGTTGTATCATTTAGTACAGTTATCATTTAATGACAAACATTTCCTTTACCATCATCTGAATGGTTATGAGCTATGGTCTGTATGCTCTGCTGCAGTTGTTTCAGTACTGGTTTTACACTTTTCACCTGCAGGGAATATTCCAAGGGAAAGTAGTCAATAAAAAATTACATCAATCATACATGAAAATTCAAATGCCCTTCAATGTCTTTTTCTGTTTGTTTTGCAATAAATTTATGATTTCTTTCTATTACTGTCAAATTAATGTGATTGGTGACTAAACCATGACTATCAATGTGCAAATTCAGGGGTCCCATTTGGGTAGGGGGAGGGAGACAACTCAAGCCCGTAAAAAGCATGTTGCAAATGGTGGCATAAGGGGTTTGCTGAATAGAATTCTGACATGTACACATCTGGCTTAGCTGTAAACCATAACACAACATGTTATTAAGCCATTCACCCCGCGAATGCTAGAAAGATGGGTAACGAACCAGTGGGAGTTCTCAGGGGAAAATTCCTTAAAAACAAACAGCCATTTAACACAGGTCACTAATGATTTAAAATTTTACAAAATTACAAAATATATAAAGAAACATGAAGGGGTAATCAATAAACATGAACACAGTGAAGGAGTAAATGTAATACATTCCCTGGAACCTATAAAAATTTTGAGAACAGGTCACTGCAAAAATGGCAATATGTTTATGGGACTGTGCCATAACAGGAAGCGACTAAAATTAGTCTTCTTGTGCGACAGGGTTAAGGGCAAATGCATAAGAGGAAGCAGCACTTTTACTGCATACTCTTTTTAGCATGGTGAATGATAATGACTAACAGTCATTTTCAATTAAAAACTGTCTTTTACTGAGAAATAACAAAAATTCTTTTAATCCACTGACTACCACTCCCATCAACCCTTGCACATTCCCAGATACCTATCATTTTAGTGTGTACTAAAAATGCCATAGCTTAACAACCATTTGGCATAAATTTATAATATTTTTTTTGCACCAAACTGAATGGAAAACAAATTTCAGGAATAAAAAAACCTGCATAATCTTGTTGTACATCACAATCATCCAGATTGGCACCTTTCCGTCTTTCCAGTGGCTATATAGTGGTAGAAAAACGGCAACCGAAAGATTTTCTGACACCAATAGAACTAATTGTTTTTATTTTTTGCTGTTGTTGAAATAATCTTGGATGAAAGCTCTGCCTAACAGTGAAATAAAAATTTTTCAAATTCTCAGGCTGTCTGCTGATACAGAATGACAACTGTCAAACTTTAAAACAGTCTTTTCCCAAAACGCACATAGCAGAAAACACATCCTGGTAAATGTCAAAGATTGCATTGCAAAACAACTTTCGCCGAGCTCTAAGCCACAGATCCCTTATGGACACCGTCTACATTAAGAGACGCATATAAGAATACAAATCTAAAGCAGACACATGAAACAGTTTACCAACAAGAACGTCTGATCCAGAATAACTGAACTGTAAAATTCCAAAAAGCCATAAAAACTATCTTTTCCCAAAATGCCCATAGCGGAAAATGCATCCTGGTAAACGACGAGGATTGTATTGTCAAACGATTTTTGCTAAACTCTAAGCCACAAAGCTGTAATGGATACAATCGACACTAACAGACGTACCTAATAATACACACCTGAAGCACATACATGAAACAGTTTACCCGATCTAATGTAAGATAACACACCTACCTCTGACTGCCACAAGCAAAACACTGTCTTCCAGTTTTTATGTTTCTGATGGCAACAGTCGTAAAACTGATCAGAAATATCTTCACCTTCACTTACTGATTTCAAACAATGAAGACAATATTCCCTAATCTCTTCCACCATGCAGGCCCTAACTATCAACCACCATTAGCGACAAATTTGTTTATGCTCCATCGACAAGGAATCTCATTAAAATATTTGTGGAAAATTTGCTTTAAGCACTACCAAGTTTTTCCTCTTAAAGAACAATAGAGAAATGAATGGACTAATGGCTGCAACTACATTTTTTGCAAAAGTTGCAATTTTAACCTACTCGTGAGCGTTCAAAGTTAAGACCGCAGGGGGTCCATTGTGGTAGCCATGTATAAACGTTGACGGATTGCATAACATGCCATTATAGTGCACAGTGGGTAAAAAAAAATCAAATTTATTTACTATAACATAATGTCATGTAAAAATTCACAGCCAGCTCTAGACATAAGGCAATAGAGCTTAAACGGGAATTCCGTTTTTTTTTTTAATATGGCGTGGCCGGTCGGTGGTAGCAAGTGTTATCGAGTAGATAACTACAGTTTAATAAATGAATAATTTATTCGAAGACAAATAAATGGGCCAATTTATTTAAGAAAATTTTTATCTTCAATATGATCACTTTTTTTAATAACACAGGTTGCAAATTAATTAAACTGTAGTTCAATTTGTGTATAATTTACTCAATAACAATTGTTACCCCGACCGGCTATGCCAGCCTCACAAAAATGGGAATTCCCGTTTGAGCTGTACGGCCTTATATCTGGAGCTGGCTGTGTAAACATTTAACTAAAACCGTTAAATGTAACCATCAGACTCCACTTACCTGTCCAGCCATAAGATAATGGCAAACTTGAAGAACAAGGAAAAATACTTTCAGGTATTCTTTATGAAGTGGATTACCCGAAAAAGTTTCAATAAGATGTCCAGCTTGAGTCATGGCATCGTGCACACTTGGAATGTTTTTGCTTATGAGACCAATCTGAGGATGAGCAGAGAAAAATGGAAATGTATTTATGTGTGGAAAAATGCAACTGAAATCAAATGTCTCTGCTTTCTTGTATGTGTTAAACAAGGATTTGTTTTTCTGTTTTTAAATTCAAGAAATGTTGAAACAACTGCCTTGCTTTTTCTATGCTTGAAGATATAGAAACAATATAATAAGCTCTCCCGTGAGTCATGTAAGTAGTTTATTGTGTGACTCATTTTCAAGTGCAGTCCATGGTCTCACAATAACTACTCCATATCTGTTTTCCAACAAACTCCTAGTGATCCACGATGATTCCATACATGATTTTTAATACCTCACACTTGTCACTGTTGTTGGAATTATTTTATTCTGCATACATAAACATAATTTTTAAGCTCCATTTAGGTTAAATTTTGAATTAGGAATCAATATCATAGCACTCTGGACACTCCCATAAGCGCTCCGCCTCTATCTTCAGCAGCAAGCGAAGAGTTCCAATTTCAATGATACAAGTAACTATCTGATTGTACATCCGTCTCGCCTTTTCCCATTAGTGTTGAGCATCAGTCAGATCCCCTGGTAACTCCTCGCAGCGCCATTCTCCTCAGATCTATTTGTGCCTCTGCATTGTTCACTCACTCGTTTGCCATACATTAATTCACCATCTAGTGGTGCAAAACCAGCCATTTTATCTGCATGCTCGTTTCCTGCTCATTCCATTTAGGTTTGCATTATGGGTAGGACCTCTAAGATTTGGTATATATTCTGGAGTGCAACATCTCTTAAAATAACTATTATCTTTTTCTTGAAAGTTCTAGTTGTTCTTCCAGCTTCTGAACTTTCATTCTAGAACATTAGTTTTGTGTGCACATGCATTTTACAGATCTGGCTAGTTTTATGCAGACTGCCAGATTACTTGCCTCTCAGACAGATGAACTCCGACTTTGAAAGAAACATCCCTAATTAGTTAGTTGACTCTTATAACATGCTTATAGGGAAGCAGTGATCTATTCCCCCCCCCCCCCCCCAATGGAGGCCCATGCATGACCCATATAGCTCTATCTAATGCACTGTGTAAGTTCTCAGGTTCTTCTTTATGCTGTTTTTTTTTTAAACTTCTGTATGGCCTTTCTCTTTGCTCTATGCTCATTTTATATCAAGTGACTTTCTGTAGCAAGAACATTCTTGACAGACAGTTCGTTCATTTTCCTTGCTGTTCTGTGACTTATACAATTATTTTAGCTCTAGTCTTCTAGTTTCTTCACTCGTATCTGCCTTTTAACTCTGGCTTTCTTTTGAGACAACTCACATCTGTGATTATTAGTTTTATTACTGATTATCTGTACAATAGTCCACACCTGACACAGGTAACATAATGTTGCTGCGCCCCCCCCCCCCCCAATAGTTTTTAATGAGATTTAGTCTTGAAACACCTCTAACCTTCATAACCTTTTAAAATGATTACTTGCTGGTCTAGTATTGAGATTTTTCAGTTGTGGACACTGTCTCTTGCTTATACCAAAAACCAGGTCTCTTCTTTCCACTGGCAAGACATGAACATGGCTGCTTCGAGATACCTCAGTTAAGTGATTTCGTTTATTCTTGTGGTTTTGTTTGATTTATGTTTGTGCTGATGAAGGCTATATAGCCGCAACGTTCAAGTTTCATGCGTGTTTGTTATACTGTGAAGCTCACTGATCTATTTTTCATTCGGTTTGATACTTTTCGATCATATCAAGACGAGCATATAGGTGAAGCATACAGTATTAATGAAAGGTCCCTTTACAACATAGTGGCACATCCGGCATATGAAGTTAAGGCTCATATTTTATAGACCAATCAGCCCGCAATGGGCTTCCCAGGACTTCACCTGGTACCCATTTCATACAGTCAACTTGGGAACCAAGGTCGCAGTTGAAAAAAATCCGGCTTCATGAGGATTTGAACCCATGGCTTCAGGTCCGCGAGTACATAAATGAACCTCATACAATAATCTCTTACCATTCCTCTGCTCAGCATAAAAAGGAGACGTGTGTACTCAGATCTTACAGACAGTGCATAGTCTGTCCCTACTCCCATCACATTCATCGCAGACACCCAATCTTTCTCTGCAGAATGTAGTTGCTGAAAAAAAAAAAAAAGTATCTAGGTTAACATTTGTACTGCTGGCCACAGTGCAGTTTCTAGGACCAGTAAATCATGTTCCCACTCTGCACATCATTAGATTTGTTTTAATTAGATTAATTAAAATTTATATATTTTTTTAGATGACATGTTTGATTCCCGGAACGGTAACTATAGCTTTTAATTTTTATGTTGTCTATGTGCCCTTTTATCTTTGTACTTCTCTCTACGAGTGCCGATCAACACACTGTCTGTTTGTTTATTTTTTATCAAATGTTTTAATGGCCTCAAGGTTCCTCCTCTGTTTATTTTGTGTGTAACACATGTAACTGCAACTGATTTACAACAACTGCTGGATATTGTGGGGATGGAGAGTACCAAGAAAGGACTTTCATTGAATGTTAAGAAAAAGGAAGTAATGGTTATATCAAAGAAGAAAATAACTCCACGTTGTGAGATCTCAACTGAAGGGAAAAGACTTACCCTAATCGATAAATTCAATTATCTGGGAACAATCATATCATCAGATGGAAAATGTGTGACAGAGATTGAAAGCAGGATAGGTCAAGCGAAAGCTGCATTTCAAAAAATGAAAAATATTTTACACAATAAATCGCTCTCATTTAATATCAGAAAGAGGATGCTAAAATGTTACATAGAACCTGTTCTGCTGTATGGCAGCGAATCTTGGAATGTCAGTGAACAAATTAAGAAGAATTTGGAAAGAACAGAGATGTGGTTTTTGAGACAATGTTACAAATACCTTGGACAGCCAGAGTAACTAACAACAATTGCTTGAAAGAAGTTAATGAAAGTAGAATAATAAGAAAGAGACAAACACTATCCATTGGCCATATAAGGAGAAGGAGACATTGGTGAACATCATGACAATTGGCTAGATCAGTGGAAAAGGAGGTAGAAGCAGACCAAGAGAGATGATGCTGGATGGGCTGAAATGATGGCATGGAGGGATGAGCACCTACGCCAGATGGCTCGGCACATGATGATGATGATGACATGTAACACAACGGAACCAACTAACAACTCAAATCTCTTTCTTAAATTTGTGTTGTCATCTAGACACAGCGTTGCGGTTAAAATATATTTATAACAGTTGTTGTGTTTGTTATTCAACCTATGCTACAGACAAATGGTTTAGGATGAATTCTGTCTACCCCCTCCCTACCTCGACCAAAACAACATATATCACAAGTGCTATCATTGACTTGATGTCGCATCCCTAGTGCATTATCTGCCAACTACTGTAATTACCCTTTCCCTACTGACCTTTATCAATTTTTGTTGTTTCTGCAAGCATAGTTTGCTAACATTTTTCTCTAAACATTCATGTTAACGGTACTTCAATCAAATAAGCACAAGAATTCAAATATTTAGGAAAGAGGGCTGCTTGATCTCGAGCATGGTGTCCGCTTCTAGACTTGGACTTCCCCCTGGTATCTGGGTAGTGAGATCAGACGCCTGTGTGCATTGTTGTGCACATAAAAAAAATCCCTTGGCAAGTTTGAAAGAGTAGCCTAACGCACTGCCCGGGAAAAATTTGGAGTTAAAAATCAACTCAAAGTATTTTAGGATCCTTGCTGGTGCTACAGAGCCTGTGCACTGTGCTAAGCTTCTTCGGACTCAGACTTGAGTTAGAAGAAGAACAGAGCACTTATGGGTTACACCCATGTGCCATGATGTTGATCTGTTGTAAAAAAAAAATTGTGTGAAGAATATTTACGGAGATTGGCAGACTCGACACAGAGACAGAAACCAGAGTACAGAAGTCAAATGTCACCTACCAGTTAGCCCCAACCAAATGTCTCCCTTCTGGCAAAGCAGCAAATAATTAATAGCATCTTCATCCCTACTTTATGTCCTCAGTGCAAAAAATTGAAAATAAATAAGGTACCAGAACAGAAAATAACTACATGTGATGTCTCTGTAAGGTCATGCAAGAAGGGCAGGGTTGACAAATACCAGTATTAGAGACACATTTGGAATAAAACCATGTCTAGATTATACTGACAGACAAAAAATGAAATAATTCAGCCACCTAGTGAGAATGCAGCCAGACGCAAACTACATATGAGACTTTTCACAGCAGAACATTTGAGAGGAAGGTGAGGGAAAGACCAAGAAAGAGGTGAATAAACGGTGCGGCTGAAACCTGTAAAGAAAATGAACAAATCCCTCACCCAAGCCACTCGAGAAGTGCAAGATAAATACAGAAAACCATAACACTGGGCTACAGCCTGGCATCATTGAGACGACAACAGACAATGAAGAATTATTAAATCATGTTTTTGTGCATGGTTGCTCCTTCACTTCCCTGTAGAAGTTAGTAATGAGTCTTTTGCATCTATATCTACTCCTGGAAGACATGCAAATAATTCTGCAGGTACTCTGTCAAGACTTTTCTTGAATTTGTGAAGCAAACATACTTTTGAACTGTATAAATTATATGAAAGAATCTCAGAAAGCTATGATGTTGAATAATATATATGTGTGTGTGTATGAATTTGTGTGTATGTGTGTATATATCTATATGTGTGTGTGTATATATATATATATATATATGTGTGTGTGTGTATGTATGTGTGTATATGCATTTGTGTGTATATGCATTTGTGTGTGTATGTGTGTATATATCTATGTGTGTGTGTGTGTATATATATATATGTGTGTGTGTGTGTGTGTGTGTGTGTGTATATATGTATGTGTGTGTATATGCATTTGTGTGTGTATATATATATCATCATCATCATCATCCTCTGCGTGCCATTAAACGTCAAACAGGGCTCATATTGGATTCATTCACTCCACTCTACTGCATGTAACTCAATTTCTGACATGGAGTTCAGCCCAGTATGTTTAGCCTCTTGTAATAATGTTCTTCTTAATGTTTCCCATTTAAGTGCTTGTTTTGTAATTCTTTGCTCATTTCATATCAGAGTGTGCCCATTTTATTTCCACCTTCTTTGTCTTCTTGCAGTCGATACAGGTATTTGTCCAGACATTTCTCTGATCTCATCACTTTTTAAAACATTAATACCATTTTATGTTCATGATTTTTCTTAGACATTCATTTTTAAATGCATTTAGTTCCATATCTTTAGTGGTTCTCCAACTTTTCGCTGGTATATGTTAGAAGTGAAATAACATTAGAAATTGAAGACTCATAGTTTGGTCATAAAGCCGTACAGTTTGGAGCTCCATATTTGTACAGGCTTTTAAAGACTGTTGCTGCTTTGCCAGTGAGTATCATACTTTCCTTCGTTACATCGCCTTGAGAGTCAAAATGTGCTAACCAAATAGGTGAAAAGGTCTGTTACTTTTATTGATTTCTTCTCTAGCATGACATCTACATGATCCATTATTGGTGTCTTTCATAAATTTGTTTTCTCATAAATGATTTTTAGTCCTATTTTTTCCTGCTGTAGAGGACAAATCGTCTTTTTTTGTGTGTGCATGTCTTTGTTATTTTTACTTAACAGAACATTGATTGATTGATTGGCAACTTTCCGTCTTTCCAGACGATAGTGTTATTTTGTACTATAAGGAGGCATGAGACTCACAGCCCATGGCGATGGCGAGTGTAACCAGCAAGAACCGCCCACGTTAAGAAAAGTCCTTTACAATGACAGCATGTGATTTCAGGACCATTGTCAACAACAGAACAATATCATCTATGAAATCCAGATCTACCCAATCAATGTCAGTACTGCCTTAGCAATATTTGTTCAGTACCCAATAACTGGCTTCTTCAAACAACATGGGAGATAATGCAGTCTTGTTTCACTCTAGTTTCCACCCAAATCCAGTCACTTAGACCATTTTCAGTGTGCACTGCACATTCTAAACCATCATTTAAATTTCTAATAAAACTCATTATTTTGGCTGGTATCCTTCAGCACTCCAAAATATCCCACACTGAAATTCTATGTAAGCTGCCAAAGGCCTTCTTGAAATCAATAAAATTCACGATGAGCGGTTGTTGCTTCTCAAAGTGTTCTTCTAGAATAAGTCTCAGGGTAATTATTTGATCCAGACAACTCTTGAAGGATTCAAATAATTTCAAATCATAATTAGGGAATATCTTACCGCAAGCTGGAACAAAAGGCGACAATGCCAATAGGGTGCTTGTTGCGACAGCTCAATGCCCTGAAGTAAGATTGGTTTTGCCAGGTGCAACTGATTCTAGCCACACACACACACACAAAAAAAAAAGGTAAAGTTTATAATGTACACAGCTTCATATATATTAGACTCTTAAACTATAAAACTTTCACAAGTGTCTACTTTCCATTAACATTATAACAGTGTGTCATGCCAAAATAGTCCAGAATTGGCAAATGGAATGTCAAGAACTGTAGAACTGCAAGGACAACAGAAGTGGTCCAAAAAATATTAAAGGATTTACATTTAAGGATTACGTGAAAAACAAATGAGCTAGGGTTGGGAAGATATTCCAAATATGGGCAACACTGTTTTATTTTCAGGTATTATAGAGGAATATTCCCCCATCCCCTTTCCCCTAGTCAAGGGGCCGCTCTTAACAGTATCAAAAGAGCCAGAGTAAACGCTAACAGAACAGGTAGCAGTGAGCATTAATTACATCATTTAGAACCATAAAAATAGAAAGTGAATGAGTACTAATTCCATCATTTAGAACCATAAAAAAGGAAAGTGAACATTTCTGTAATAAGGTGCTATGCACCAACAAACAATAAGAATAAATCAATAAAATAAGAAAAGTTTTTTGCAGCTTCAAAATATTTTAAGTAATCTGAGAAATGACAATATAAAAATGTTGATGGTTGACCTGAACATCAAGAGAGGATGCAGTAACACAGATTATAAAAGAGATCATCCGAACACATGGACTAGGGGTAATGAATGAAAATGGTGAATTATTCACCAATTGCTGTGCAGGAAAACAATAACATAAAGGCAAAAGTGTCTTCCCACATAAAAGAATACACAAGGCAACATGGGTATCATCAGATCATAAAACAAGAAATCCAACTGATCACATTTGTGTAAGTAAAAGAACAAGTTAGTCTCTGTATCGTGTTAGATCTTTTAGAGGTGCAGATGTATTTCTTCTTCTTCTTCTGCCTTTCTAACCCCCAATAGAGCAAAGGCCCTCCACAAACTTACGCTAAGTCCTTCTATCTTTCGCTATCGCATGCAGCGCTCCCCATGTCCTCCCTATCTTTTTTAACTTCACTCTCTAGCTTCCTTCTCCATGTGATTTTTGGCCTTCCTTTATTTCTATGCCCTTGTGGGTTCCAGTGCAAAGAAATTCCAATTACATTGTTCTCAGGTCTTCTCAACGTGTGTCCTATCCAATGGCAGCGTCTCTTCTTCATGTCTTGGTCCACTGGAACTTGTTTTGTTCTCTCCCAAAGCTTTATATTAGTGATTCTATCATACATTTAATTCCCTATATTCTGCATAGGCACCAGTTAATGAATGTTTGTAGTTTATTTGTAATTGCCTAAGTTGTTCTCCACGTTTCTGCTCCATAAAACAGAACTGAATTGACATTAGAATTGACATTTTTTTTAGTTTAGTAATAGTTTTAATTTCTTTTGATCTCCACAAATTCCACAGTGCTTATAGAAGCCCCTCTTGCTTTGTGTATTCGTATTTTAATATCTCTATCAGTTCCCCCAACATCATCTACATTACTGCCCAAATAGGTGTATGACTCCATAGCAGATATATTTAAGTATCATTATCTGTTGATGAGCAATATTAAGTTGAAATTCAAGAGATATGTAACATCTTATAATTGCAGAAATCAATATAATGTTGGATATCTCAGGGATACAGAAATTAATGAATAGTTTTTCATTTATAGAATCAAATAAGTATCATGCAACATTTAACTAAAGTCTGCTGTCAACAGTTTAAAAGAATTAGGAATTATTCTTTTGCAGAAATCTTTGGTAAAAGAGAATGGAAACATAGAAATGAAAAGAAAAAAAAAGTAAAGGACCGTTTTCCACGAGATACGCTCTGAAAAAGGAAGGATGTTTGGCATTGTGACATAGAAGAACATCTGCATGAGAAATGATTGGCAGTGCACAAATTTAAGAAGCTCCTATTTTTTGTCCCCACTCTTGTCTCAGCAGGCTAGAGACCCAACAGTCTTGGGAAAGACATCATAACCAATGCCCAATGCCATAAAGCATGGATAATAAGAGGACCAAAATAAAATATTTTCTTCTTCTTCATGTTCACTGGTTGTAAACTCTGACGGAAAGTTCTGGATCTTTATCTATCTCTGGACTTGAGCCTTGTTCAACAACCTGGGCATTGCATGCCCATCAGTTTTAAAGATCTGATTTATTTGTATATAGACTGCTGATTGCTTGCTTCTCAGGCAGATGCATTCAAACTTTGAAGGAAGCTCACAATTAGTCTACTCTTATGAAATGCTTGTAAGGGGGGGGGGGGGGGGTTGGGTCTATTGTTGCTTTCCCCACAATGGGACCCTGTAACCCACAGGGGGATGAAAGCTATTATTTATTATCAGTGTATCATGACTGTGACCTACCTGTTTCTCTGTGTACATCTGAGCCAGAACACTTGCCGATTCAAACCGAACATCGTCAATATGGGGAATCTTAGCAAATGTTAAGGACTATGACTTTCAAATTAGTTTTGAAACAAATTAAAATAAATCTGACATTCAACAACTAAAACAAAAATATTAAATCTATTCAACAAATACTATTACTTCCTTCCTGCATACAAACACACAATGTATCAGCAGTTTATAAGCAGCCAAGAAGTGAGAACTCTAGTCTCTATCTCTTATACATATAAAGCAAAACAATAATCCTTGATAATGCTGTCTACTCCTCAGCTAGTGGTAAAACTATCCTGGAACACACAGCAAAGGCAAGGGCTTCTATAATGATAAAGATGAGCCACTGGTGGATGTAACTAGAATTTATACAATGAGAGCTTAACAAGTGTTACAAGAGTGTCCAATACAAATGCACAGAGAAGGTGTTTCTTGTTTACATTTATGGGCAAACACTAATGCTAATCTGACTGCTGCTTTGCTAAACTCTTTCAGTACCAGAAGATAACTTAGGCAAGATACCTCTCAGAAATCAGAACAAGAATCCTCAGTCAAAAAGTGGTCTTCAGCAAGATGCTCCATATGTGGATTCCTGGGCCCCATTTTAGGGGGAACTAAAATACAGCTCCCCCTAACCTCAAAAAAAAAAAAAAAAAAAGCTTGTCGTAAAATGCAACTAATTCGGATTTTTCCGTTGAAATCAGAGTGATCTGCCTGAAAGGCCAGCAATAAACAGTAAGGCAATCTGTAAAATGGTTGTGCACGCAAAACTCAAGTTCTGGAATCCCCAGAAAATTCTGGAATAAGTCCAAAAATGGAAGATCAGACTTGACTTTCCCCCAAAAAGTGTCAAATGCAACCAGAAAAGAGTTTTAAAGTGCTTTACAGAAACTGTTTGTTATTTGCATGTGAGAGACAAGCAATAAACAGACAAGCTGAAAAAACACTGACTCACAGCAGAGATGCATTTTTGAGAAGAATGCAAAGAATATCATGTGATGATAGATAAACCAATCAGTCAGTCCTTTTTGAGACAGATCAAGTCATAAACTAATTAGGAAAATTAGACATAGACAGTGTGTTATCGGACATGTTATGAGAAGGAATGACCGCAAGAACTTAGTAACCACTGGCAACATTGATAGAAAGAGAGCAAGAGGAAGCCAAAGATATAAATACCTGAACAGCGTATCCATATGGGTGGAAGCGAGACAAGAACAGTGACTTGATCCAGGATCCTGGTGATTATGTCAGACACTCGTCTGAGTTCAATCATCAGCAGAGATAAGAGTATTTTGTCTCTCCTGCCTCTTTAAAACTAAATCCAGACAATTTTCTGGGAAGGAGAGCAGATCAGAAAGGGAAATGGCTACCCCATATTGTATGTCATGGCCTAGGATATGTGAAGATCTAACATTTCACACCAGCAGTGCAGTAACTGCATTTATTATTACTTACAATCTTATGCATGTATAATTATCACAATTGTTTAAAAAGTGCATTTTTAAAAAAAAATCGATATTGCTTGTTAAAAAATCCACATCCTAGCACATTGGTCCGACCCACTTATGCTTCATCCTCTGATGTAGCAGCTATCTCAGTGTCTCCATGCTCAAGTACCCAGTAATAATGTTTGTCTCTAACTCTTTCATCTCAAAATCTCCAGAAAGCAGTGCATTCAGTATGTCTCCCCTGTCCATACTTTTTCCTCCTTAAACCACTGCAGACATGCCACTTCCAGTCTGTTGGCTCTTTCCATCCTGGCATTTCCTAGTGTGTACAGCCAAGTAAGTTTTTTAAGGCGGGACATCCGGATTCTGTCAACCTATTCTAGTCAGAGTTTGCCAGTATAGATCTTCTTAAGTATGCTCATTGAGTCTGTAACAAATAATGTGTAGCTGCATTCTATTCTGCTAGCCATTAAAGTGCCTTTGTGACAGCTGCTATCTCCAGCGTCATGCTAGAAGTAGTTCAACTGAATGCCTGACTTTTTCTTTCAGTCTTCCCAGTCACCCGTGTTGTGTACGCACACCGAGACTGCACCCCACGATTCCCTGGGCCATCTATACGATTACAATCTGTTACAATTTATATGTGATTTATGCAATATTAAATAGTAAAAAGAGACAAAAAAGCCATTTATAAACCAGATGGGTTAAATAGGATATTATTGTTTAAATTACTATTACCACATCAACTACTATTTCTTAAAACATACAATACAAAGTAAATTAGTTCTATATTATTTTCAAATGCAAAACCCTTGCTAAAACAGAAAAACTTCACCATTTTAGGATACAGTTAAAGAAATGGACCACTGAAAAAAGAAAGACAAAAAAATTCAATTGAACAATACATAGAGTAATTTTTAGTCTATTTTACTGACTAATAATCTGTATAACAATTAACATAACATAACCCTTGACCTATTTGGGTCGCGCAGGTGTATAGATGGAAGCACTAATATTCCAAACCCACCATCTTTCTCTGCCTTCCACTTGATGAACAAGTGTGTGATAACTTAGTTCTGTCCATTTCTTGTCCTTTTAGTTTTTTCTTTGCCCTCTTCTTTGACTAACTCCCCCCCCCCCCCCCTCCTTTCGCTCCTTGAAGTAGTTGTTGCAATCAAATCATGAATGGAATACATTATTGGATACACTAAATGGCAAACTGCTATAAAATTATGAATATTTAAGTCCATTAGAAAGTCAAAAAACATTGAAGATATGGCATCAGACTCATAATTTTTATTTTGTCTACTAGCTGTACCCCACCACGCATTGCTGTGGCTCAGTATGGCTAAATGGAAAAGAAAGAAAACAAAGCGCTCATATCTAATACGGTTACATTCGCAATCATGTGCAGATATAGAGTTTCGTTTGCAGACTCTACAACATGCAATACATAACTGTGTCTTTATATTAGTGGTCATTTAAACTGTATTATTCAGACCCCCAACGATGATCCAACGACAGGCCCAGCAAGCCGGTAGGGGATTTGTTTGTTCAAGCACCATTGCTCAAGATTTATGGTGTATTTTAAAAAAAATAACTACGTGTGAAATGCGATGTCTCCGAAGAGTCACCAACAATACACGAAGAGACAGTCACAAACGTCAGCATTAGAGACAAAGTTGGAACAAGAGCATGCATGGAACATATTGAAAGACAGAGAATGAAGTGGTTTGGCCATTTAGTAAGAATGCAACCGGATCAGATTGCCTATAAGGCCTTTTACAATAGAACATCAGGAAGAAAGGCCAGAGGAAGACCCAGGAAAAAATGGATAGATGGAGTAGCTGAATACGGCCAAAAGATCCAGAAAACTGTCACTCAAATCACGCGAGAGGCACAAAACAAATATTTTAAACCACGACACTGGGCTGCAACCCGGTAAAAGTGAAGAAGACAATAGATAGATTCAGACCCCTAAAAAACGGTTATTTGTTTTATCACATACTAAAGCTTTTTGTACTTTTTAAACAAACAAAATAGTGCTATTAAAATATAAATAATTAAAAAATGAAAAAAATGAAAACTTTAAAATCATGTTTTAAGCTCTCTCAGTTAATAGTTTATGTCATCACCACCACCCCTCCCCCTCGTCCCCCAATCCATTGACTACTCCTGTCTTCCTCACAGAAGGATTGAAGTGTGTTTTTTGCCTTTACATCCAACAGATGGCAGATCTTTCACCTGGTAGCAATGTTGAAGCCCATTACTGACAGTTTGTAGTATTTGATCAAAGGTGGAACAGTTAGGGTTGGTATTTTTGGCCAAGTCGCATGCTTGGAGGTCAAGGGTCAAATTGACGTTTGGGGTATTTTTAGATCGGAGATCTAGATCATCTGGTGGCTCATTCGAAAAGGTAAAAGATAGTTTTTTTTACCTGTCACAGATGTATCACCATATAATAGTAGATAACAAAAAACAAACACAAAACCAGCACATAGTCGAAATGCAACATTGCGTGAGAATTTCAAAGCAATCAGTAAGAACTTTTGGAGCTTAACAATTAGGAGCAAATGAACAAATATTTTTATTTACATAGATTATATTAGTTATGGTCATACGCCAGTCTGAAGGTCTTGGGTTTGAATGTGCACAAAGTAAAAATATTTAATAATGCCAGGAGAACCCAGTCTAATATAGGTGGCAAGTAAAATTCCTGGGAAGTAAAGGCAGCCAGCACGATGTTTAGCATATCAACCATCGAAGGCTGATTGGTTTACAAAAATATGATCCTATTTTATCAGTTTTTGGTGTGAAACTGGGGCCCATAAAGGAAGCTCAGAACAGCAACACTTTAACCTAGCATGCCTGTGATAAGAGCCAACCAAAGAAGGTTGGCACAGTCAGTCAGTAACTTAATAGACCGATCATTTTCAGTAAACACTGGAAAAGTCCATAAGCAAACCGATTCCATTTTCCGTATCTCCCTCAATGTGTGACTACTGACAACATCAGTTCTGTGTTAGTTCATCATTCTTCTTTGGCAAGTACATTGCCTACAAATTCTTTTTTTTTTTTTTAACATCAAGATCTTGCAGTCTTGTCAATGTTTACCCATTTATCACAGTTTACTGAATCATCCACTTTTCATGCCTCTTTGAGAGCACTGAGAACATCGGCATGGTCCATTGCTTTTCCAGAATGGTAACATGGCCACGTGGTTGGCATGCTGACAGGTAACTGGCTTTCTTATCTTATATAAAACTGTTTGCTTCAAAAGGAGGAACTTTACATAGTAAAGGTAAACAAAAAACCTCCACAATGCCATTTCTGCATTCACTATATGGTGCTAGATCCAAATTTTAATAGATCAACTGGCACATGATGGGCGAGGTGGCTAACATCATGCTAACTACCTTTACTACCAGGACCTTCCCTGGTACCCATGTTAAGTTGGGTTGACTGGAAACATGTCAATTATAAAAAATCCACCTCAATGATGAGTTAAAAACCTACACCACAGTGCTCAGAACATTCCCTAAAGCACTCTATCCCCATCTTCAGCAGCCAGCATAGTGTTCCAATTCCACGGGTTCCAGTAGCAGTCTGAGTATATATATCCATCTTGCCTTTCCTCTGAGTGTAGAGATTCAGCCAGATCCCCTGGCAAATCCAAGCTCTATCATTCTTTTCAGATCATAATAATACTCAAGCTTGTCATGTATAAGTTCAGCAGGTGGTGCAGAATCAGTCTACCTGTTCCTTTCCTAACACACCAGAATGGGATGCTAACTACCAGAAACCTTTGAGGTGTCCTAGCCACTTTGCACAGAGCATGTGTTTCCACCTTTCTCAACATACTTTGTAGGTTTGTTAGAATCACAGCATGCATGCGCAGTTGGTTCTTAAGCCAGCGGAAGACTACACTGACTGCCTCCATCTCTATTCTGAAATTAGATGTGATATCATATGCTTAGTTTGGATTGGTTTAAACAACGGATCAACACCATGGTACAAGGACAGTAAGTGCTCTTCTACTTTTAACTCAAGCCTGAGTCTGAAGAATCTCAGCGTAGTGAATGAACTCTGTAGCACTGGTGAGGATTCTAAAATACTTTGGGTATATTTTTAACTCCAAATTTTGCCCAGGCAGCGCTGTTAGGCTACTCTTTTCGATTTCCAATTACCAAAGGATTTTTTTTCGTGTGCAACAATACACACGGGCATCCGATCTTATTACCAAGAGACCAGGGAAAATTACTAGAAGTCCACGTGAAAAATCACAAACTTCAAAAAGGCCTGAACATGGGACTTCCAGCACTCCAGGCGGACGCCGTGCCCGAGATCACTCAGCCCCCACACTTTGTTGCACTAAGTGTCGAACATGAGTATTTGCAATGAACTCCCCACGCATTTTTTGTTAGCTCTTACCACACAGCCATCTGTATAGATGATCACATCACCTAAGCGGGAAATGTCAAGAATCATTTGTGGAGTTTCTGCTTCTGCAGCAATTGCTGGCCAATTCCTGCGGTCATAGCTCAGCATAACTAGAACACTGCTCTCAGTGTCTCATACTCTCTCCAGCATGATTATGCATTGAATTTTTATCATTTTGAAACTCCTACTTGTCCCCTCTGGCATAGATTTAAAAAGAAATGTGACAGAGACCTCAATTAGTGCAGTTCAATCTAAGATATACCATCAGCATTAAAGAAAATTAAATCCATATTAACTCCAATTTGCCTAATTACATTTTTGTGTGGCTCTGTGGTTAGTGAATGCGTTCCAACAATTTAATAATCCTCCAGTACTAAGGTTTAATTTCCATTCCAAACGGTTTATTTTAAAAACAGCTTTCATGGTTTTTGGACACGTATAAAAGTCACATATTGGAATAGGTTGGGGCATACATACGGGTAATCCACACACACACACACACAAAAACATGTGACTATTCCGACCTGTGATATGAATTTGAAAACTAAGAAGGGTGGATAACATGAGATCTGACTTATTTGTATGCAGGCTGTTGTCGACTCCTTGTCTCTTAGGCAGATGCACAGGAAGCCACAATTAGTCTACTTTTATCTTATGAGTTATAAGTTAGATTATCTTCACGGCACCCCGGACACATTCATAGGCGCTCAGATTCCCCTCTCAACATATCCATCAGCGTCAAGCGGTTAATATTAAAAGTACCAGTCCTTTGTTGGTTAACAAGACTTCGTGTGAGTCCAGTTTGCTTCTCATGCTTGGCTGTGCCCAATTCGCATGAGCGGCGTGGGGGATACTCTCGGTGGTGGCGGAAGTCGCCGGAATTGTGCAATTTAAGACGACAGAAGTGCGCAAATGACACGTGACTGAGGCCCTGTTATTGTATATTTTCCGGCTCGATAATTTAGGACTGTTATTCGGAGGATAGCCCAACACAGGGCAGGTGGTTGGCGGCACTAGAGCCAAGTCAATCACACTGTCAGAGTCACCTGGTCGAGTGGCTATTCTAGTGACCTGTCCGTCATTTAAACATACTAGTTCAGCAGATACTAGCGCCTCCTCCAGATCTTCCCCCTGTTTATTGGTTATGACATTACACCATTGTCTGTCCTTGGCGTTGAAATCTTCGCAATAAATGATGTTTTTTTCCCCGGTCGCAAACAAACGTTGCCACTGCCGCATGTCAACCTTCCCGTTACATGCGTAAACATTAACGATCGTAAATTTGGCGAGGGGCCAGCACTCTTACTGCGTGCACCTGCAGGTCGTCACTGTTCCATTCAGACATGTCCACTTCGGATGCTTTCATGCTGTCGCAAACCATAATGACCTGACTGAGATGCCGCCAGTCGTAGAAGCACTGAAAACCCGCAACTTTAACTGTCTCGTCTCCTAGATGTGTTTCCTGTAAGGTTTCGATGTCATTACCGCAAAGAAGCTTTTCAAGAATGGGCCGTCTCTGATTAAACGAAACACAGTTCCAGTATAACAGACGAACATATTTTATGCTCAGCCTATTACATTTTAAACGTTTCCAGCCGGCACAAGCATGCTTGCCGATCTTTGTTCTTGTCTCCCGTTGCACAGTTTCCATGAATGAAATTTCACCACAAGACGCTGATGTAACGCCGATAGGATACTGGGCACTCGTGCACCAAACTCCGTAGCACGGCCCAGAACCACGTTACGTTCCAAAATATCACATTAAACACATAACTAGTGGCGAAAACACTATTCGTCCTAACGGGCGAAAAAGATGTCCCGCTATCTTGTCAAATTATCGAGGCCGAAAATATACCCTAACAGGGCCTTAGTCACATGTAAATTGCAGACTTCCAGCAACTTAAATTGCGCACTTCCAGCGACTACCGCCACCAACGAGAGTATCTCCCACGCGGTGTGGATTAGGGCTAAACTAGATATCTGGGACTCACGAGCAGCAGCTACTGCATCTTCCTTCATTTTATTTGCTCATGAGTTTCAGCCATCTAGTTTAGCCCCAATCCACGCCGTGCTTAGCAGCTGTGGGAGATACTCTCGGTGGTGGCAGAAGTCAGAAATTTACATGTGATTCAGGCCCGTTAGGGTATATTTTCCGCCTCGATAATTTGGGACCGTTATTAGGAAGATAGCACAGTTTCTTATCTTATGACATGCTTGTTGAGGAGGCAGTGGATTTATTCCCCCCCCCCCCCACAATAAAGCCCCAGAACCCACGCAGGGAAGATATTTTTTTTTTAAAGCCTAAGTGTTTGTTGAGATTAGTTAAGTTAGTTTAGTAATTATCGCCTCTCAGTCTCTAAGACTTAGTCTAATTATCTAATAAGTCTAGTTTTAGTCTGTAGACAAACAATGAATTGAAACATATGGCGTAATTGTAAAGATATGTTGGCTATCTTCTGATAACAGTCCCAAATTATCGAGGCAGAAAATACACCCTAACAGGGCCTCAGTCACGTGCCACTTGCGCACTTTCGGGAACTTTCCGCCACCGCCGAGTGGCAAATCAAACATCAAGGCAGCTGCAGGAAATGCCGTAGCTGCTGTTCATGAGTCCCAGCCATCTAGTTTAGCTTAGCCCCAATCCACGCCGCGTGAGCGGCGTGCGGGATACCCTCGGCGGTGGCGGAAGTGAGCAATTTAAGTCGCCGTAAGTGCGCAATTGACACGTGACTGAGGCCCTGTTAGTAGTGTTAGGGTATATTTTAATTTTCTGCCTCGATAATTTGGGACCGTTATTCGGAAGATAGCCAACATATCTTTACAATTATGCCATTTTGGTAGTTTCACACTTTCAACCGAAACTGTTTATTCATTACTAAATAACAAGAATGCTTGTGGGTATCTATTTTATTATTTTTTTATATAATTTATACTTAGTGAATTGTAAGTTTAGCTTTTTCTTACCGCTTTTTCCAGATGTGTTCTGGCTATATCCGTATTTTTTGCGTGCGTCAAGAGAATGTTACCAAGCTGCAGATGAGTCCGTGCTTCTACTACATGGGGCAGAGGATTAAAGTTAAATACCGACTGCAGGCAGTGAATACATAATCTGATGTTTGGTGGATTTGAAGTCCTAAAATGCTCAGCAAGACCGACAAGGGCTATATACCAAGGTTGCTCTCCTTGTGTACGGTTTGAAGACGCCATGTTGGTTAAGTGTATGGCTCCGTGCAGTAAACAAGGGATGTTGTGTTGTTGAGTGCGTGGTGTACGTCCTGGCTCACGATGGCGTGAACTGATAAGAGCAGTGTTCCTCAAACCTTTCGCATTTGCGGCCCACTAAAAACCTAACATGTAACAAAATGCAGTAAAAGAAACAGATTTAGGTAGCAATTTATTTGTTAAAAAAAAAATAATGTTCAGCTAATTCGACATTTGCTTCTGCTTAGATGTTATAAAATTTGGTAAACGTAGCTGGAGCGTTGTTTTTTAAATAGAAGCGCTGAAGTAACCTCCATTTGATTTTCTGCTTGGTTTTCATTTACTGACATGGCTCAAATATATGTTCATCAGAAAATAATTCGAAAAGTCGACAACAATATGAAAACTCCATAACTCAGACATAAGAATTTTTTTCCAGTGATGTATGTTGACAGTCGTATTGTTCCATAGTCGACCTTTGGCTGTGAAGTCCCCAAAACATGATGTCGTCGGTGGTTATCTGCTCGCAAATGTCACTTAAAGTTGTCCACTTTTCTTTCTCATAACCTATGTTTAGTCTTATTTTTGATGCTGTCAACGTCAAATCGTCTGTTTTTCTTTGCATGTCTTTGTTGTTTTCAATTAAAAGAATCAGATAATCTTAGTTTCAGCTTCATAACAAACGGGTCTCCCCCCCCCCTCCCCCGCCATAGTTGCTCCGCTCCTGTGCCAACGAAAAACACACAGAATGTTTATCACACACAGTCCCTTGTGGAAAGATTGACATACTGCTGTCTAAACACATGCAATAGCATCCACACGCATTAAAAGCATACGGTAGCCATTCGAAGTGCTAACACAAACAGTCCGACGTTAGAAATTCAGTTCATCGTGGACGGTAGCACTAGTGACTAGCAGAAGTTACCAACAGATCAGCAGCTGCACACGCGATCAACTTTGATCACATAATGGCGCCACCAATATTGTGACAACCGGCATCGCGCCATTTTCTGAATCTACAGTTCACACAACCACGTTGGTCGCAGTCGAGAAACATTCTAAAAGAAATCCGTAGCTCACAGTGTTACGCCATGCACTCAACTCAGAAGCAGGGCAACGAAACTATATCCTTCCAGTCTACAAATGGAGCACAAATGCAACGGCCACCGACTGGCAAAAGCAACAAATTTGCCACGGCTCAAAACAGTGGCCGTGCCTCGCGTCTATTTTGACCTGAAGCTTTATGTAAGGGTTAATAAACGGTCACCCCAGCTGTACTCTCACTGTTAGCTGGGGAAGTAACATAACATCTACCAGCAAGAGTCGCCCTAACAACGACCGGACTGCCTTCGTTAACGACTGTTCACCCAACAGCCATGCAGTTCTTTGGCACGAAGGAGACACCTAGAACTTGGGTTTCGGACTGCCGACGCCCTACGAGAAGATATGTGTGTGCTACTGGTGTTCTGTAGCCAAAATACCAGCTCACTGTTTTACTAAAGTTCAGCACGCATACTCAAACGCACAGTGGTTAAAACAATTTTTTTAACACACACACACACCCGCACACATTTACATAGCCCAAACATATAAGAGAATAATATCATCTGCGAAATCCATATCTTCCTGTTGTCTGCTCTACTCACTCAATGCAAATAGTGCCTTCGCAACATTTTTTCATTATCCAGTCAAATTGCTATTCAAAACACGGGAGATAGGGTGCAGTATTGTTTCGCTCCCGTTTCCACCAAAAACCAGTAACATAGACCGTTTTCAATGTGCAGTGCACATTCTCAACCGTTGTATAAATGTATAATAGTGCGAATTGTTTTGGCTGGTATGCTCATACGCTAATCACTATTATGATACACTGTTTAATCATACCCTATAGTTCTCTAAAACCATCCATTCCTAGCATGTTTTTCAGCATGGTTTTGTCTTGTATGATTTATGTATGTGATGATGAACGCTCTGTAGCGACAACGCTCACGTTTTGATTGTGTCTGTTATATTGTGAAGCTCGCTGATCTACTTTTCGTTCGGTTTTATATATTTCAATGTTTTTTCAGTTCTCATATGCTTATTGCAGGGGATAATATATTCATTAGACGACGCCCTTAGGAGTTCGTATTTCTTGCAGCAGAGTAAATAATGTTCAATATCAATAGTGATTAGCGAGGACATCCCCTCCTCCCCCTTTTGTTTGTATGTTCCTTATAAAAACTTTGCTAATCCCCCCCCCCCCCCCCGCTCAACCCCAAATCGGTGGCTTCATGACTTTATAAGAGAAAAACGATTTATACTGCAGAGATAGCGGTGTAAAGCCACCCGATTTATAATTTTTGGAGGGTGCAAAACCTGATTTGGCATTTTTCCTTTTTTTTTTTAAATCGAGGTCATCTGGTGGCTCGGTCGAGGTTCAGGTCACGTGACTTGGGGTCAGCTGCGGGTCAGAGTAAGGTCTATGTAAGTCACACGGCTCGGTGAGGTTCTTATGTGTCCGTGAGAGGCGGAGCAGACAGCAGAAGATCCGAGGGTTTCGGACTTTGGGGTAGGAGAGCAGGGGTGAGCACTACAGGTGTCTGTTTTGGGGGTTATATAGTAGAATCAAGAAAACTAGGGGTATTGATTGACTTGGCGGGAATAGAAAATTATGGGCTATACAGTAGAACAAAAAATTTAAAAAAATAAAATAGAGAGATATGGCACTATTTATGTGAGTTATATAGTAGGATAAAGGAAGAAAGGAATTGCCTTGCTGTAGGGTGATATAAAATATATACACTGAAAAGTAAAATATGAAAACGTGTTTATAGGTATGGGTGTCAGCTGAAGCTCGGTGGTTTGTGGTCAAACAGCACAACCAACAAGTGCCATACCAACGAGTGGGGGTCGATCATGCCTCTTCATGGTCTGGTCGTGGTTATTAACTGAGCTGTGGTTATGGTAGTGTACAGCTAAGCTGTGATACAGGTGGTAATTACATACAAGCTTGCCAAAGGAGACAGAGGGCATCAGGAGCACTAGACATTTGGTGCTATGACTTTATATAGAGATAAAAATGCAAAATTATAGCAAAGTGGCAAGTGTAGTATCCCAATATTATGTGGCAGTGACTCAGTGAGGAAGTCAATTTGTCGTGTCAGTTAGTTATATCAGGAGTTTTAGTGGTCTTAAGAGGTCATGGCATGTTGAATGTGGAATTAAGAATCGATATCATAGCACTCGGGACTCTCCCATAAGCGCTCCGTTCCTATCCTCAGCAGCAAACGAATAGTTCCAGTCCCGATGGTACCAGTAACTCAATCTGATTGTACATCCGTCTCGCCTTTCCCTTGAGTGTTAAGCATCGACCAAATCCCCTGGTAACTCTTTGCAGCGCCATTCTCCTCAGACTGTAATTATCTATTTGCGCTTCCGCACTGTTCACTCACTCCCAGAGTGCCCTCAAACCTAGCTTGGCATACATCAGTTTACCACTAAGTGGTGCAGAACCGGCCAGTCTATCTGCCTGCTCATTTTTCAACATACCGGCATGACCTGGAGAGAATATCCAAAGAATGCTAACTACCCGGGACCTCTGAAGTGATGCTTGCCACTCTGCATGGAGCATACACGTTTTCACCTTTCTCAACATGCTCTGCGAGTCAGTTACAATCATGGCGAGTGTGTACAGCTGATTCTCAAGTCAGCGGAGTGTAGCAGTGACTGCCCCCCACCTCCATTTTCAAACTAGACGTTGTGATATCATATACAAGGCTTTATTGCACTCAGCGACGTCCATTCGCTTTTGCTATAAACCCACGTGCACTTTGTCTGCCCCTCATCACAGTGCCATCTGTATAGATAATCACATTACTTGGGCAGGAATGGTCATGAATCATTTGTTGAACTTCTGATTCTGCAGCGCCAGCTGGCCAGTCCCTGCACTCAAGACCCAACGTGATAAGAACCCTGCACAAGTCTGAAACTTGCTCAGGCACTTTGACTCACTCCTCACCTCGCACAAATGTATCGAGCCCGCACACAAGTCTGATTGTGTCTTCAGTTTGTGCCATCCAAGACCTTTCTCTTTTCAGTCTGTGACCCTTAGCTCTACCCAGGGCATCATGCAGGAGGTGCTTCTTCTCTGCAGCTACTCTGAGATATGACTTTGCATGCAGAACATTGAGCCTGTCTGCAAAAGTAGGCAGTGCAAGTATATACTGCATACTTACTACCGGCATATCTCTTGTACATCCTAGAATTAGCCGCAAGGCTTCATTCAGTATGCGTTCAAGTCTCATCATTTGGATCTTTGATATGGTAAGCAATTCAAGTCCATAATCTATCACAGAAAGAATCACATGCTTAAACATGGTGAACAACATTCTTGGTTCCATGTCCCTTGCTGCCATAATCTTGAGAACATGGAGTCCTTTTTGGCATTTCACTGCAACTGCCTCCATATGATCACTGATGGACAAGCTTCTATCGAAAATGATACCCAGGTACTCCAGTTTGCTTTTTCTTCTGATGTTACTGTTATTAATTGTAAGGCTTGAAAAATTAGCTCTTACAATTCTATCATATCACCACAAAACAGCCACCTTTTCTGAGTTTATGACAACACCCATTTCTGCACACTAGTCAGTCACTTTGTCTACAGTTGCCTGTAGCTCTTGGGCTATCCATTGCCATTACTTCCCTGTTTATATGCAAGAACATCATCAGCAAAAGTCAATATCCTTTCAGCATTTAATGCTTTGAGTTCTGCAATCTTGCTTGTATACACATTGAAGAGCATTAGGAAAATTGCAGGGCCCTGGGGTAGTACCGGGGCGATATTAAATGGTTCTGATGTCATGGCATATGGTGCAATGACTTTATATAGAGGGGAAAAAGGCAGTTTGCCTATCTAACCATTTAGTCGACCCTTTAACTAGATGTCTGAATGTCTGTGTCCCCCCCGGTCGTCTGCCTGGTTGTACCATGAGTGGCTGTAAACTCACAGGTCTTACAAACTA